TAAGAATCAGGTTATGTGAAATAATAACAACAAGAAAAATAATACAATACTATCTATGGAAGGCTTAAGAATAATCCCAAAAAGTTATCCACAACTTAATCCCTGGAACGTGTGTTACCCTATGTGACTAAAAGGGGACTTTGCAGATGTTATTAAGTTAAGAGGGAAGCAGAGGGAGATTCTGACACATACAAGGGAAGATGATGTTAACAGGGAGGCAGAGATTGGAGTGATGACTTGAGATAGTCTCAGCCTGTCCAGGTTGTAGGAAAAGCAAGCTCTGGAGAGGAGGGCAAGCATATGACTGAACACCATTTTTGCTAATCTAAAGAGATCAGGCATCTGACTCATGGATCCCCTCAATGATTCTCAGCAGAAGCCAGAAGTGGAGATGGGATTATCCAAGAAAGATCTGTAGAGGACCCCTTGTCTAATGGCATGCATGCCCATGACATACACAGGAAACCCACAAGATTTTTTGAGAATGTTATACCAGTGGATATACTGCCAGCTTGGACTAAAAGGGACAGAGATAAGATGAAATAAAGGAAGAGTGTCAGACTCCCAAAATTCTTCAGACAGAAAACAGGCTGATAAATTTACTCAGCTGCAAATATAGGCTTCAAGGAAAAACAAGGATGACTTCAAGGCCAGAGCTGTAGGTATAAAGGCCAAATCCACAAGTACAGAGACTAAGGCCTGAACCACAGACACAGAAGACAAAGCCATGGGCCCAGAGGGTAAAGACTCAAGCCACAGAGGATTATTACCAGGCCTTGAAACCTAAAAAAATTTGCCCTGCTGGGTTTCAAAGTTGCTTGGAACTCATGACCCCTTTCTTCCTTTGAACTTCTCCCTTTTAGAATAGAAATGTCTATAATTATTATCCTATGCCTCTTCCATCATTGTATTTTGAGAGCAGACTTGTTTTCTGGCTTCACAGGATCATACAAGAAAGGAACATTGGCCCAGGATGTATCATATACCGAGTGTTATCTGTACCTGACTTAGATGATGAGATTTGATTTGAGCTGATGACATTTATATGAGATTTTGAACTTGAGTTGATGCTGAGACATTGGGGGATATTGGAATGTAAATTTTTCATGTGGACTAGTGGGTGGACTGTGGTGGGCTAAATAATTGGTAATTATAAGTTAAGGATCTTGAGATGGTGAGGTTATCGTGGGTGGACCCTAAATGCAATCATGTATATTCTTATAAAAGGGAGGCAGAGGGAGATTTTGACACACACAAGAGAAGAAGGTTACGTGAAGACAGAGGCAGGGATCAGAAAGATGCAGCCACAAGCCAAGAAAGACCAACAGCCATTAGAAGCTAAAAGCAAGGAACTAATTCTACTCTAGAGCCTCTGGAGGAATTGTCACCTTGCCAACACCTTGATTTGGATTCAGTGAAACATTTCAGATTTCTGGCCTCCATAACTGAGTGAGAATAAATTTCTGTTGTTTTAAGCCACCAAACTTATAGTAATTTTTTACAAAAACTCCAGGAAACTAATATATACCACCTTAAATTTATTTGGCAACTTTCAGTTTAAAAGCTCAAAGTACTTTCTGTGTATTATTTTTGAAATATAAGGTGGAGGAAAAGGAATTACTTTAAAGTATTTATCTCCATCCAAAGACAATAAATGTCCTTAAATCTGAAACTCTATTTTATTAATTTTATTTACTTTGGATAGTGATTCAATTCCAAGCTACTTCCATTTTCATTGATGACCACTTATCAGCACTAATTCTATTTTAGGGTAACATCAATTGCAACAGTATTGTAAAGATATTATTTCACAGACAATAAGAATAGCTGCATCTCGAATTTCCATCCTTCACTTACAAACCCCACCCAAAGGAAGCTGCCCAAGTCTAGTGGAAACAG